AGGGAATACAGAGGTCATAAAGTCTAATGCCTTTCTCCTTTCCAATATTTGGATTGGATTGGATTATGTTGTATAAATACGTTCAGAGTTTAGTCACATTGAACTGATGGCCAGGCGATGACCAAGGTCACCCTTTACATGATTCAGTCCACCAAATTTAAAGAGCAAAAGGAGCCTGTTTCTAAGAAGATATACTTGAAATAATTAAATGTTTAAAAGCTAGATTAACTATTTGTAGGTATATCTTTTCCATATGTTGTTGATAAAAGAATGAAGTAGAACCTAGCTAGAATTCTCATGCTTATTTCCGTAGTTTTTGAATATACACTTAGAGAAACCAGGTTAAAACCAACATAATTTTAGCATTTATTTTTTCCCGCAGAGGATAAGAAGAGGTACAAAGAGAACAAAGCTGCAACTTAATGGGCAAAGAAAGATTAACATTATAAGCAAACAAAACGTTAACCTTAATTAATTCTGATCTGTGAGTACACTCTGTGTTTTCCATTTGTTTGAAATATTTAATGATATATATGCTATTATGTATTAAATAATGCTGTACATATATGTGTGTGACTGTGCATATTTATGTATTGTGTAGTTGTGTCTGTGTGTGATTGTGTGTATAAAATCTGGACTGATTCACACCAGAATGTTAACACAGGCCTGCAATTTCTCATCTAAAGTCTTTGGGACCAGCTGGGTTTTGAAATCCGAATAGTTCAGAGTTCAGGCTGTTAATCTAATACATACGGACTGTATTACGTGCTTTTCTCAGGAAGCTTGGAGGCAGCACTGTAAATCAAGCGCATCCCTACACGAACTGCCTAAAGACCTCACATGGTTCAGGTCAAGTTAAGTTCTGCCTCTCAATTTATTTATCACATACTTACTGCTTTCCAAATTTTAATTTTCCAAATGGCTGATTAGAGATTATGGACCTATAATGGGCTTCTTAATGGTGAAATCTGATGAGAATTTTCTTGTTTTTCTTTTCTCTCACCTAAAGTCTCTAAAATAAACTTTTACCATAGCCAAGTAATAGAAGTAAGAAGGAACAGAGACAGACAAAACTCTTACCTTCTCAGGAGTGAATTAAATATGGCTGAGGCTTAGCAAGAACCCAGGACCGGTCACTCCCTTGGAAGGACATCACAATCAAGCTAAGGGGGTTGGTGATGAATGAGAGCCCCCAACTGGGGAGAAAGGATAGCCAGCCTCTGTGCTGAGCCCCATGGGGGGGGGGTGAAGGGAGAGAGGAGAGTAGCTGGGCAAGGCTGCTAGAGAAAGCACCTCTCAAATCTGTTGCTACCAAATTATAAAATCCTATCAAACCACTGGTGAATCTACACACGAGTTAATATTCCCCCGATGATAAAGAGTAGTCTCAATCTATACTGCAAAGTAGAGCAAAACAAAGACCAAAATCCCAAAGAAATATTAAAGAGAAAAAAAAAAACTGCACAATGCTGAAACTCCTCAATAATAGGGATAGGTTCATGAGTGTCTCCAGGCTGAGCAAGGAATGGCATTTGCCTCAACTTGTGTTTCTCAAATAAGTATTACCAACTGGACATTCCAGGTTTTGTTTTGTTTTGTTTATTATTAAGACTTTCGGAGCAATTTTAAGTTCACTGCAAAGGCGAGGGGAAGGTAGAGTTTTCCACATACCCCCTGCTCTCAAAATGCATAGTCTCCCCATTATCAACATCCCCCACCAGAGTGGGGCATTTGTTACAACTGATAAATTATATTTACACATCATAATCACACAGTGTCCATAGTTACCATTGTGGTTAATTCTTAGTGGTGTACGTTCTATGGGCTTAAACCACTGAATATATGACATTTGTCTATCATTGTATTGTCATAATGTTTTCCCTACCCTAAAACCCCTCTTTTTATTCCTCGTCTCCCCCTGCCTTCCCCAACCCTGGCAACTACTGATCTTTTTATTGTCTTTATAGTTTTGTCTTTTCCAGATTGTCATATAATTGTGTTACTGGAGAATCAGATTCCTCCCTCGCTAGTGGGAGTGGTGTTCTCAGGGCACAGTTGGAATAAGCATATTCAGAGGCCCCAGCAGAAGGATGAGAGGTGGCAGAAGACTTTATTTGTGTGAAATTACATTCCTGAGTTTCCAATGTCCCATTTCCCACAAGCCAGTCCTTGAAGAAGGGTAGCTGGGGCTTTAGCAAAGCAAAAAGCAAAGCCAGAGTCCAGAGTTTCTGCTCCATGGTGCACCTGTGTCCAGATGAGAATTAGTTAAGATTTAGTCCATTAATCTACTGCATGGGTCCCACATGGCTGTGGGCCAGATGGTGGGTGCAGGGCATGGGACCCCCACAAGCTGAGTGTCTGACTCCAGCGGCAAGAGAGAGAGCGGAAGCAAGAGAGGGCTGTCTTTTGTCTAGAAGATTAAATTTGGGGTTTCCTAAACTTGCAGTGGCTACGCCTACTCTGGCCACTGACATGCTTCCAGATGTGATGGACAGGTGTCACCTCCCATCAGATCTCGCTGAGCATGCATCAAGACCACCTTTGTTCAGTCCCTTCCCCCGTGCAAGGAATGGACCTGGAGTACTAAATTAGCTGATTTCCCCCTTACTCCTTTCCTGTTAAATAATAACCAGGTTATTGTGCTGATAAAAGCTGGAATCATACAGTATGTAGCCTTTTCACATTGGCTTCTTTCATTTAGTAATATGCATTTTAGGGTTCCTCTATGTCTTATCATGGCTTGATAGGACATTTTATTTAACACTGCACTGTCTGGATGTAGCACAATTTTTTTATCCATTCACTTATTCAAGGACATTTGGTTGCTTTCAGCTTCTGAGAGTTATGAATAAAGCTGCTATAAAAATTCATGTGAAGGTTTTTTTTTGTGTGTAGAAAATGACATTGTTTTCTTCCAAGTAATATCAATTAACAATAGACTCTGAAAGACCTTAACAATTTCACTCTAACTAAAAATAAACCTAATAAAAAGTTTATAGAGAATATAAATAAATAAAACAAGATTTCAAATTGTTCTGATTCTGTTTGTCTTGCCACATGTAATGAACATGGCCATAAAAATGACTCCATGACTGGCCTTTATAAAATGTTTTCCAATGAAGAGTTAACAGATTCATGGTGTTTTGGGCCATTAGAAATGGGAGCCAAATCATACACATAATCCCTGAGACTCAGGGAAGTTTGGAGATTTTCATAGAGTGAAGAAGCCTCTAGTCATTGAGCCTAGAGTTGTGGTCAGTAGGAGAGTCCTTCTCAAAATAAAGAATACTGACATTTATTGTCTACTATGCCCAGACAATGTCCAGATAATAACCACAGCAACAATAATAGCTAACTTTTTGTGTTTACCCATGCCAGGTTTCTTTCACGTGCTTGACATGCATAAATCATTTAGTCCTCACAGTAAGTACAATGTAGATAATGCTAACAGTGGTCCATGCTCCTCCCTGGCCCTCCTGCTTCCATGGGCAGGACTTCCCTGAGGTAGCACTGCTGTTACTGACCCTTGCTCTTTCCCCCGGGGAGGAGGAAGGTTTGACTGATTGCTGATGTTAAAAGAAGCAGCTTGGCATCCTCAACTCCTGCTTTGTCTCTCATTCAGCTCCCCTTCTGTGAGCCAACCCGTCTTCCGGAGGCAAGGCATGCAGTCTGATATCATCCCTGGCTGATGGTAAAAGGTTTCCCCCAATGTGTGTGTCTTGTGTTTCTCCAGCAGAGACCATTGTTCTCTGGGTGAATCTGTTTATTCTGAGGCGAAATATTATTTTCAATATATGGCTGCAGATTCTAAAGCCATCTTCTCTAAAATATTGTGCTCTCTATTTGACTTCTATGTTCATCTCAGTTGGTTCAAAAATGAGGACCAGCCTTGGTCGGTTTAACTCAGAGGTTAGAGCGTGGGCTGGAGGACCAAAGAGTTGCAGGTTCGATTCCTGTCATGGGCATATACCTCGGTTGTGGTTCAGCCCCCAGCCCTGGTCAGGGTCATGTGGGAGGCAACCAGTCAATGTGTTTCTCTCACGTCAATGTTTCTCTCTCTACCTCTCCCTCCCTCCCCCTCTCTCTCCCACTCTATCTGAAGATAAATGGAAAAATATCCTTGGGTGAGGATTAAAAAAAAAATGAGGACCAGATGAGGTATGTTATTTGTCATGGACCCCTAACAGCCTAACAATGACCCTGTCACACTCCCCCCATTTACAGAGGAAGTAACAGAAAAGTAGAGGGACTAAGCAAAATACACATGGATGTGAGCCGGAGCTCACGTTCACAGGCACCACTGTAGCAACTGTCTCTGTACCACCTAGAGTCCCCTGAAGTGTTGTTTTGATCACCACTGTGCTGCCTCAGACGGGGAGATGCGAAGCTCAAGGATGTAATATGCACAGTCATTTCACAAACAGAGCTGCACAGAGATCACAACTCATACCACCCGCCTCCAACGGCAGTACATTTTCCACCACAGTCTACCTAGTTTCAAAAATAATTAATTGCAAACATCATCCAGAATAGAGCCACGTTCAGGAGGTGGAAGTTGGGGCACTCATTTGATAAGCTACAATTGCCTTCTTTTATTATTTACCAAGAAAATGACATAAAAGTTGATAAAAATCCTCAATATTAATGGGCAGCAGAAAATAAAGCAATAGCATTAAAATGTAAATGCAGCCCAAGTAAGGTTGTTTTTTTTTTTTTCACTATCTCAACTCATCCACCATCCACACTTAAAAAACAAAACACAACAAACATTTTTCTGTTAAATAACTCTAATCTCCGTCACACTATTCAATTCTTATCTCTACTCTTGCTGCACTTCCACAGATAATTTTTGAGCCCTTGGTCAAGATAGCCTATCATCCCTGATTGTGAATGCACTTGCTTTGTTGATGTTGAAGGGACATATGTGTTGATTGTTGTCTGAGAAGATTAGCATGAAATCGGCATCTCTGCTGAGTTTTATTAATTTCTCATGTGCTTACCTGAAAAGGCAAACTGGATTCTCCAGGCTTTGCATAGAGATCGATTTTTGCTTGTCTCCACTGAGGTCCAGCGCTTCCAACGAGATCACCTTGCTTCTGCCAATTTCCGCCCAGTGACGTTCTTGTGAAAACAGACAGATGCGCGTGCCGAGACAAATGATACCCAAACCGCACCTGGTGGACAGATATTTTTGAATATTCCATTTTACTGTCCCACGTGGCTATTCCGTAACTAAAAATATCCCAACCTACTTGGGTGTGAAATATAATCTTCTCAATTTTCCTTTCCTCCAAGTGGGTAAGCCCAGAAAATGGCAAGCACTGCCTTCGCCAGACGTCTATTCTCTCCTGAAGAAGAGGCTCAGGGGGGCCGTACCAGTGGGCGTATTTAACACGTATTATGGGTACATCCAAAAGGAATGGGGCCCTGGCCGGTTTGGCTCAGCGGTTGAGCATGACCTGCGGACCAGAGAGTCCCAGGTTCGGGTCCCACTAGGAGCACGTACCAATCAATCAATCAATCAATCAATCAATCAATCAATAAATAGGAAATGGGGCACCAGCATGCTACCAAAACAAGTTTGCGGACACTTATTTGTCCGCAGCGTCACGGAAGTGTCCCGGAGCCATGCCTATTGCTGCTTATGAATCTGGGGAGGCACACTTCTGTCTCAAAGTTACAAAAGCAGGTGACACTGTTCATCCTCCTTGATGTCTCAACACCGAATGATGAAAAAGTTCTCTTGAAAAATTGTTTTCTCAAATAAAAAGAAACTATAAGTCATACTTGCTACTAATCCCCCCTCTTTTGTAACATTTATCAAAGAATTTGGGAGCTTATATGATAATGCTCATTAATAATTTTATTATATTTTTTCCATCACCATTTATCCCCTCTATGTCCTCTTCCACCTCCGCCCACCTTCCTCTCCCCCACAATCACCACACACTTGTCCATGTGCATGAGTTCTCTTTTTTTTCTTTTTGCTCAATCCCTCCACGACCCCCACCCCTAACAACCCCCACACCAGAGCTGTCTGCCTGCTCTCTATCTATGAGTCTGTCTCTATTTTTCTTGGTAGTTCAGTTTGTTTATTAAATTCCACACATGACTGAAATCATATGGTACTTGTCTTTCTCTGACTGGCTTATTTCACTTAGCATAGTGTTCATCAGGTTGATCCATGCTATCACAAAGGGTAAATTTTTCTTCCTTTTTATGGCAGAATAATATTCTATTGTGTGAATGTGCCACAACTTTTGTATCCACTCATCTACTGATGGACACTTGGGCTGTTTGCAAATCTTGACTACTGTAAATAACACTGCTATGAACTTGGAGTGCATATATTCTTTCAGATTCATGTTTTGGGTTTCTTAAGATAAATTCCCAGAAGAGTAATCACTGGGTCATTAATAATTTAATCCAAGTAAGTTATAGTTCTTTTTGAAACTTGGGAGCCTTGGTCATTTTGCTTCTACTCATCATCAAAGATGGCATATTCTAAACATTTGTTTGACAAGTAAACCATGTATTGAAGAAAACATATAGAGAGGATTATTTTAGGTGCTGATGATCAGTAGCTATAACATAGAATTCATCACTGTTATTTATTTAACCAATGTTTACTGACCATTTACTCAGTACCAGGCACTGAGGAAGGCGCTGATTAATTCCCTCAGTGGTTGGAGAATTCCCCACTCTGTGAAATATGTCAACTAAACCTCCATAAACACAGGTTCAGACACACAACAGTCTCTTTTCCCCTTTTCATTATGACCCAGGAAGTCTTCAGGCTGCATTTTTCCAGGAGAAACACAACATGAAGAGATGAAGCCCCACAGAAACAAAATCCTTCTCTTTGGATTTAAAATGATTCCTTTTTAGTTTCATTTCATTTTAAATTCTTGCTTTTTTCTTTGTCACTAGCTTTTATTTTGTTATATGAGCAGATGTTCTTGCATTTATACAGGCTACCCATTTATTTCCCTCTCGGTACCAATTTCAATGGAGATGAAAGTTGACAAAATTTTACTAAATTCCTTTTAAAAATTGTTCATTATAAAATATCAAGCATTTTCTGTTCTAATGTGGTACTCATTTTTTCAATGTATACTTTATTGATACTACCTGATCAAATAAAATCTTTCTGTCTGTCCATTTCATTTTAGATTGTATTACCAGGTTCACATAAACTCACACCTTGACAGGTAAGCAGAAATGTAAATGCAAATGAAAGTGTTTAATTAAATTCTATGGAAAGGGAGGATTTATGTTCCTCAATTACAATTAAACGTTAGATCCCTGCTGTAATTTCAGCATGTTCCAAGCTTGTAAATATGCAAAGCAGAACTTTAACCCTATTGTACAAGAGATATGCATGCCCCTCAGAATTTCAAACTGTCAGACTGTCACTCAGTACAACACCAGTGTGAGGTTATTTTAATAGTATATGAAGAGTAAGAAGCAAAGGGATCCATATGCAATAGGACAATGGCTTAGAACTTATATTTAATTTACTATTTTAACATAATTGGCATTGTAGAAACTTAAGGAGAATTCTTGAGACAAAGAAACCCTCTGTAGTCTTTTCACATTTAATATTGGTAAGGGTGAAACATGGATCAAAAGTTATCAGCACAGCCCAGCCAGTTTGGCTCAATGGTTGAGCATCTGCCCATGCACCAAGAGGTCACTGGTTCGATGCCCAGGTTGTGGGTCAAATCCCAGTGGGGGACACGCAGGAGGCAGCCCATCAGTGTTCTCTCACATCAAAGGTTTTATCTCTCTCTCCATCTCCCTTCCTCTCTCTCTAAAATCAATAAAGAGAAAAAAAATTGAAAAAAAAAAAGGTTATCAATATAGCTGTGATTTCAGATAGCCACTCATCAAGTGTGCAAGGTCTGTGGCTCTCAATCTAATAACACACCAGTAGTAGGAAAACAAGACATGAACTCAAAATCATGATGGTGCATGTTGTGAATACCTCACAGAACCTATCACGGCAATTTGTATTCACTAGGTATTCAGTTAATAAGCATTGAAAAAAGGAAGAAAGGGATGAGTGGACTAATAGCATCAGTGCTTAACTAAATATTATAAACTTTGGGAAAGAGAGAGACAGAGACAGAGACAGAGAAGAGAAAGAACCTGCTCTGTGTCAGAAAATACAGACTTCAAAGTTTTGTGGGGGAAAGTAAAAGAAAAGGAATGAATAACAATAATGTACATAATGACAAAGGTACGAAAATAGTGTGGCTATTTACATGTGAATTAATTAGCATTAAGCAAAATTTAAAAATCCTTTTCTTAGTTATACTCATCGTATTTTAAGTGCTCAGTAGCTGTATGTAGCTCGTGGCTACCATCCTGGACATAGAAGTGGAAAATTCCCATCACCACAAAAAGTTCTACTAAACAGAGCTTGTGCAAAATTACGCCAACCATTTAAAATGTATTTACTACTTATTGTTAAAGGAAATTATTATCTTTATTCATGCCTGATTCATTATAAAGCAGTCAAATACAATGTTAACATTAAAGGCTTGGTTTTATTTCTCTTGAGTCTTCACTAAGGCACAGTTTATCTCCAGTGCGACTATGCAAAACACGAATCCCTGTATTCGAGAGAATGTCAAGTGGTTTGAAAAGCTTGCAGCAAAACAGTTCCTTTCATTGCAAATTGGAGAGAAAAAATAAAGTTCAAATCATTTTATTGTTTTTAACAGTATTCTCTCTAATTTTACATGACTTATGTGTTTAAAAACATCAAACCATCAGTTTTACTACAAAATGAAAAGACATCTTATCAGGCAACGTACACACTAGTTACTGAGTCTGGGTCAGTAACTCAGCTGCAGAGCTGACCCCGGTGCAGCCACCCGCTCTGTGGTTTCAAAGGTGCCCTGTGATGTTCCCTGAAGGAGCGGCCAGTTCTACAAAGGAGTAACAAGGTCTTCTGATACTTAATTCTATGAAGGCTATAACAGGGTATTATTTAGAAGTTCAAAATCATTTCTTCCTTGTTTCTCTCTTTTCTGTTTCATTTGCCTTTGGTCTATCTCCAATTGAAAATCAACTCTTCAAAGTTTCTGCTTCTTTCCTCAACTTTCCCCTGGTCTTTGTCCCTCCTGCTGCCCCGTCTCAGAGACACTTTCCCCTCTTCACGCCCTTGCTCAGTTGTGGTCCAGCGGTCAGCTACCTCTGCCCCCTCTGCTTCAGACCAGACCCTGTCTGCTATTGCTGCACCTGCTATAGCTTCAAGATCTAGAATAACAAACATAGCAAGAAAAAAAAAGTAGAAAAGAAACGTTAGCTCCTCAAAATTCAGCTGGCAATAAGTCCATATTGAGAAGAAAGATTATGTATCACACACACACACACACACACACAACTCATTGTTACAATAATGATTTTTATGACTTCTAGTCATAATTATGTTTTTGCCTGTGCAGTCTTTACCCGAACAAGCTTATGTGGAAGCTCTGAATCCTCAGTTCAGCGTACCCTGTTTTTCTCATTTACTAATTAACCTCCATGTGCTTTGATCCCACACAAGTGAAGAGCGTTCCAGCTCAGTGCTTCCCCATAGCTGGTGCTTCCTCTCGGACCTGCCACATCCTCTACCATCTCTCCCTGGAGGAAACAAAACGATCGGGCAGCAAAGTGTGACTGCACCACTCCAAGCCCCAGTCCATCATTACTCTTTTCCTTCATTTGCCTTCGATGTGAGTTCATCACTCTGTTGGAGGAACGTTCTAAGACATGGCCTTTCAAAACTTGTTGAGAGAGATGTTATAAGTGATTGTTGCACAGTACTGACCCTCTTGCGGCACTTAGCCCCAGATTGCTATCAGCATCCCTCCCTGAACTCACTAAACTCTACATTTGGGGCAAGCCTATGTTTAGGTTGTCCCTGTGGTCTCCCAGCTCCAAGGACTGTGCTCAGCACGGAGCAGGTAAGCACCAGAGTGCACTGATTCAGATATACACTGTTTACATTGGAATTGCTGTGAGCATAGAGGGGGAGGAGGTCTCTGAGCTATTTTTGTTTTGGCTTTTCCTTCTTAGATTCTACAGCTGGAACCTAATGATGACGCATGTGTCTTCTCTGCATTGGCTGCTGGGGAACCGATGCAAATGTGAAGTGTGGCCGAGCATAGTTTGTGTTGGAACCAACCCACCTCTGGCTTCATCTGTCTTTGCCCCGATACCTTCGTTCACTTTTTCTCTTTATAAATTTTTTAAATATGCAAATATATATGAGGCAGAAGCTTCATATTTTCAATCTTCCTGTATCTTTTGAATCTCAGAAGTGGGATACCATGCCTTTTCCCAGTCACTCAAATATGAGAACTCACAAAATATGAATCCACATAAATCCCCTTCATGTTTGATATTTCCTAGTTAATTGGAAACAGTAGCAGCATTTCAATACCAACAAGAAACATTGGCTTCTGGGTCCCACATGTTTGGTTTGTCCCATCTCCTGGCTGTTGAAGAGAAAAATGCCAAGTTTCCACCAGTGACTGAAGGAAGGTTTGAAGCTTTTACATTCAAATCCACATCTTGAACAAGAATAAATTAGGAAGCACCGTGCATGCTGATGCCATGTGTTGGCTATACATACAGTACAAGGTAATAATGCAAAATAACCTTAAAAGTCTGCTGTTAGAAAAGGACACTCAAAAGAAAGTTTCATAGTCTTTTAAAGTCCTTTAAAAACATATGTTCTTCACGGTATTAGCCTGATGGGATTATGTAAGAAAAAAGATCATGCGATATTATAAAATGAAGGCTTTGATCATATAAAACGCCTGGTTGTCTCACTGCCTCATTTTATCATTTTATAATGAAGAACATTTGCTATTCCATGAATACAACTCTAATCAATATGTTCCATTTAGAAGGATCAACTGGATTTTCTGATTACTCAAGAAGATAAGAATTTAGTTTGTTCTCTTGTTCTGTAACTTTTATGAAAGAATCATAAACCAAAGAACTTATATGCATATATGCACAGCCAATGGACACAGACAATAGTTTGGGAAAATCACAAGGGGAGTGGGAGCAGGGAGGAGGGGGTCCATGGGGGAAGAAGCAGGGGAAATCTGTAATACTTTCAACAGCAAAGATTAGAAGAAAAGAATCAAGCATTGCCACAGACTTATAAAAAAAAGTAATACTGTATTCTTAGAACAGCCGTCTTGGAGATAGCATTCACTATGTGTATCTCAGAGTATAAATAACATTCTCTTAAAACACTGCTGCTGAAGCTGGAAAATATTATAAAGTCATCCAAATACTCCTCCAACTCAAAGATCATGAAGATGAAAGCAGATGGAGACAAAATGTAGAAAACAAACACCTCTTCGGCCGGTCTGGGATGGGTTTTTGAGAAACTCTCGTTTTCCCAACAATGAAGGCAAAGCGTGAAATCAGAGTCTGAGGCCCTGGGAAACCGAGGACTTGGTTCTGAGAGATAAACCATCAGGCACCTGAATTCTCCACCTGCTTTCACGGAGTCTTCACCTAAATCACTTCCCAGAGCTAAGCTGCAAATGTAAGTAACAGTGGAGAAAAATGTCCTCAGGTAGAAAGAATCATAAATTTAAACACTACCCCAGGGACCAAAATGAATTGTTACCGGGGTCCAACAATGGGGGTTATCTTTTAAAAGAAGGGAAGAAAAGAAAAGATTTCTCAGTGAGTCTCAGAAATTTCTAATTAGCTCTTAAGGTTTGTGTTCAAAATTTTGTAAAAGACGTAATATTAATATATTCTATCCCTTTTAATCAAATGTCTCTAATATATTTAACAAGGGGGATCATATTACTTCGGTATAAGACCGTGAACATGCAAGTGAAATCTCCAGGAGTTCTCAAACAAAATTAAACAAACAGAGAAACAACTATTTATCACATATGGTTTAATTAAAATATAGCAAAGGTGGGAGAGTATAGAGCACATCTGAGTGAAGTGGAAGTCACGTCCAGGCAGCGGTTTTCATCGAATTCCCACAGAGAAATGGGCAGAAATAAAGAAAAAAGGAAGAAGACCTAGTAAGTGTTTTAGGGACTCTCAGATTTCTTTCAAGCTGAACACATAATTACAGTTATGCCTCTGATGTGTAATTAGTTTATTGCCAGAAATGCCTAAGAAAAATATTGTAACCTGTATGTACAGGCAATTAATTCTGTGTGTGGCAATATCGATCTCTTCATTATTTTTTGATAACTAAAGAAAAAAAACATGAGGTGAAATTCTAAGTACTCAGAGACGTGTCAGAAATCTCAAAAGGAATGAAAATAGGATAAGCTGAACAGAAACATCTAATTCAGTTTTTAGTTTTATGGAAGGGAAAGAAATTATGTTCAGTGAATACCTATTTTATGACAAATACTTTGCCTGGTGACTTATATAATCACATTTTAGTCCTTATAGCCATGAGAAGAAGGTATGCCTATACAAAGGCTACCAGTGTAGACACTGAGTCTCAAGGAGAGCATTTAATCTATGGAACAACTGAGATTCAAAAACTCACAGAGATCAGCCAAGTGGTTTAGTTGGTGGAGCATCGTCCTGTGCACTGAAAGGTTGGCGGTTTGATTCCCAGTCAGGGCACATACCTACCAGGGTTGCCAGTTCTGTCCCTGGAGGAGGCACATATGGAAGGCAACAGATCCATGTTTCTCTCTCACATCAATGTTTCTCTCTCTCTCTCTCTCTCTCTCTCTCTCTCTCTCAGCATGACCTTATGTGAGGATTTTATTTTTTAAAGTGGCAGAACTGAGATTTGAACTAGATCTGTGTGACTCCAAATCTCAGTTTTTTCTTTATTCTTCTTTGAAATGAATTGAATATCCCAATTCCTTGGTCTGTGTTGATCTAGCACCAAGAGGACTAATTGGAAAAATAAAATTTCAGAAAATATAATTATCTTTTCTGCACAGTCATCCTTTGATCTTTCTTTATTTAACTGAATTTATTTTGCTCAATTAATATTATTGGTCAAAATAAAAAGCAGTTTTGACGACATATATCCATCGCTTTTGGATTACCGAAAGAATTATATGAAAGGACATAAAATGATAGAAATATTTTTTAATACCCTCCCTCCCCCCAAAAAAGAATGATATGAGTTATTTTGTTGCAAATGATCTTTTGGAAGGACATGATACTTCCTGCTGAAATAACTCATACAAATCTCTCAATTCATCATGAAAACAGAGGTAAAACATAGCAGACATTTACTACCATGAGCAGTTCAAGCCTAACAGTTTACAACCACAGAATGGCCAATGGAAATTCCAACAGTAAATTACCTGACATGGGTTAGAGGCAGGAAGTGATTTTGTAAGAACGGGACTTCCAAGTTTGGCCATTCCCGGGAATTGATGCGCCTGAAAATAAATAAATGACCCTGCAAAAAACACACACAAAGTTATATAGATACAGGCTGTACCGTTGTACATTTAGCAGTTCCTTGCCCTAACATCTTACCCTCTCACACATTCAACTGTCAACTAAATAAAGAAAATTATATTTTTGTACTTATTTACCATTAAGCTCTATAGATAACTAAAAGTGCTTTCAGATGGATTACATTAAACACCTAAAATAAAATCCAGTTGATTAAAAACAAGTTCTGGAACTAATCCTCTAAACAAATATTTTTGCTTAACTCACGTCATAGAGTTTGAAATAAAATTAAATGAAGCTTCTAAGCTTAGATACTCAATACACCCTTAAGAAATTTCCTTGAGAACTTTATTTTCAAGTTTTTTCACAAAGTACTGAAGGATACAAGCTTATGGGATGAGTCTGGCTTCTTCTGGGGCTCACATGTTTGACATTGTTGTCTGTGCTAGTGGGGATGAAAGCTTAATTAAAGATCTAATCTGAACGGTAACAAAGTAACTGCTTTTAGATTTTAACTTCAGCGGATGTGCTCATGGCAGATGTACAGGGGATAACATCTCTTCGCAGCTCGAAAGATCACACATCTAAACTGCTGTCAGGAGAAGTTGTCACTGAATATTGAAAATTTACAGGGAAGGCTGTGCCCACCAATGTCAAGGTCTGATCCTGCCCTTTGATAATCACAAAGTGATCGGCAACTTGGAAAGCCAGCTATGTTTACTGGAAAAAACCACATTCAGAAGGGATTTTTCTAGATACTAGTCAATGCTGGCTGCATAGAAATGAAAGGATTTCAGAATTAAAATGTATTATTTTATAGATATTTCCACATATTTAACAAAATAACCAAGGTTGCTAGTCAGCAGTGTCACCTTGGAGTGAGAAAAGTAGAACCCAGTTTATATAATCTTTAAATCTCAAAGCTAACTGGGCAGGAAAAAGACTACTCTTCCCAAATTCCAACCTAAGACTAATGGAAACAGGGTATATATAAGCTCATTAAATTATATATATATATAATTAGAAATGTTCAACCCCACAACTGTTTTATTTAATGTTTAAAGAACAAATATTTGCAACATTATTCAAAGGATCTTAGGTCTTAGATGCATGCAGATATCTTTAAGAAAGGAAGAAAATATAATAATTTTTAAAAACTATCAAGCAACATCATTCATGATCAGAGATTAAAAAAAGTCTAACAAAAATATTATCAATTATAAAATTACATACATATATAAAATTATATATGAAATCCTTATGAAATAATTATATGGCCCTGACTGAGTATCATCCATGCACCAAAAGGTCATCGGTTCAAATCCTAGTCAGGGCACATACCTAGGTTGTGGTTCTGATCTCCAGTGTGGCTGTCTATGGGAGGCAAACAATCAAAGTTTCTCTCTCACATCAATGTTTCTCTCTCTCTCTTCCTCTCTCTCTCTCAAATAGATAAACACATCTTTGGGTAAGACTAAAATAATTTTAAAAACTATTATGATTATATATCCTGATCAATCAGAGATATCAAAAAATAAAGGTTTTGTTTAATTTAGCAGCTCCATCAAAACAGTCAAATAGATCAACAAATTAAAAGGTAAAATCATTTATCAACATATATTGAAAATACTGTGATAACTCAGTCATACCAAATAACAAAACTTAATAAAATATTAAAGTAAAATAATTAAATAAAGACTAAACATCAAACCCAAAATAAACAATATCCTAAATGGCAAACAACAACACTAGTTTAATTAAAATGAGAGGCTAAGTAGAGATTTCTGTTATTAATTAGAGATAATATTAGGTAATGTTAATTATATTAGACTAATATTATATTATAGGTCTAATGAAAGTAGAAGTCAATGAAATAATATATTTAGTAAACATAATAGAAAAGTAGAGATAGAGTTCTCATGTTTTGCCAATAATACAATTGTAAAACTAGAAGTTCCCAGGAATTCTATTTTTTGAGTAATGACAAGTATTAATAAAAGAATTTGCTAAGGTAAATGAAAACAAATATTTCTAAGTTATTTTTCTCAACTATAGCAATCAGTTATAGATATAGAGATAATCAGAAGTAGTCTCTTCACAATAATATTAATAGAAAATACATAGAAATAAATTCAATAGGAAAGGGACAGAACTTACAAGAAAAACATTATAAAACCTTGAGGATGACTATAAACCATCTGATAAATAGAAGCAGATAACATATTGTTAGATGGAAAGATGGTAATATAAAAATATTAAGCCCTGGCCAGTTTGGCTCAGCAGTTGGAACATTAGCCTACATACTAAAGAGTCGCAGGTTTGATTTTGCTCAAGGGCATCATGTACCTTGGTTGTGGGTTTGATCCCCAGCCCGGTCAGGATCATGCAGGAGGCAACCAATCGATGTGTCTTTCACATGGATGTTTTGCACTCTCCCTCTCCCTTCCTCCCTCCCACTCTATCTAAAAATAATCAATGGAAAAATATTTTTTGGTGAGGATTAAAAATAAATAAATAAATAAATAAATAAATAAATAAATAAATAAATGGATTTTAAAAATTTAGTGAAAATTTATTTGGAAGCTAAATGCAATCCCAAAGACTTTTAATCAAATTTTTTAAAATGAAGAATATTATATTAAAATGTGTAAAACTAGCCCTGGCCGGTTTGGCTCAGTGGTTGGAGCGTCGGCCTGTGGTACAGAGAGACCCGGGTTCGGTTCCCGCTAAGGGCACGTACTTCAGTTGCAGTTTGTCCCCGGCCCTGGTTGGTCGTGCAGGTGGCAGCCACTCGATGTGTCCCTTCACGTCGATGTTTCTCTCTCTCTCTCTTCCTCTCTCTCCCTCCCACTCTATCTGAACAAAAAATGGAAAAATATCCTCGGGTGAGGATTATAAATAAATAAATAAAAATAAAATAAAATGTGTAAAACTAAAGGGTAAAGATAATATAAACTCTGAACCCAGACCCAGGTGCTTCACCATTTTTCGAGAAGTCCTAGCCAATTCAATCACACACACACACACACACACACACACACACACACAGCTTAAGATTTAGAAAGCACAAAATAAAATTGTCATTATTTACAGACAAAATAATTGTGAACCAATGAAAGAAAACATATACGATTAGTTATAATAAATAAAATTAGCAAGGTCATTAGATATAAGGTCAATATTTAAAATTGCATTTCTATAATACTAGCAATGGTGAAATAAAAATATCGAAATCCTAGGAAAACATTAGCAACAGATTTTTATACATCGAATGCTATAAAATATTATTTAGAGAAATTAAAAAAGATATAAATAAATTGATAAGTTGCAGATATTTAAAAAGATCCTTTCTCTACGAAATACAAATAAAGGTTTCATATAAAAAATTATTTTACACCCATAAGAAATCATTTTACACTCATAAACTGGAAAATTTTAAGAGAATAAAATGCCTATTTATTGTAGACAAGTAGAAATAGTCACTCTTTTCGGTAATGAAAATGTAAGTATTAAATTTTGTAGGGGAAGTAAACTATCAATATTTATTTAAAATATAAATATATATCTTTCTGTGAAAATATAGGAGTCTCAGTCCCAATTAACTATTGCGTAGTATTAAAAACACCCTATGTAAGAAAACATGTACAAGAATGAATTTTTAAAACATTGTTATGATCCTGTCAATCAATGGGGACAATGGCATATCCAGTTCAAAGAAATGAAAAAACAAACAAAATGAATTAGGCTTCTACTTCCAGATGTAATCTTCTGTCCTAAACTAGCAAAAAAAAAAAAAAAAAAAAAATATATATATATATATATATATATATATATATATATATATATAAATGGTTTTCAAATGTGGGACAATGGGAATGCAGATCACTAGATACTGATCTCTGAAAGTGGGGTAATAAATAAGCTAAGCCATACAATTATCCCAGTTTACCATCTAGACACTTTCCAGCTGCCATGTAGAAAGTGGGGAACCAGGAGGAGTGTGGTGGTCCCTTAAAGCTGAAAAGATGGAGTTGGTACTTTGGGGACACCCAAGTGGCTAGAGTTCACAAGGCAGAGTGCCAGGAAGGAGAGGGTTACAAAGAGAGAGAGCTCCATAGATCTGCAAAGAGGTCCCCACGACACCCCGCCAAACCCCAGGAGAGTACTGACCAGCCGTGAACATGAGGAAAGTACTCAAGGCTGGGGGGAAACCTCTGAAAGGGGCAGCGTGGCAGATCCCAAAGCTCACCAGCAACCAGAAATAGTAGGCTTTTCTCACCAGTCAGAGAGAAAAAATTAGACATTGGGATTAGACAGAACACTCACGTCAAATGAAAACTTATGCTCAGACAAAAAACTGTACGCAAATTTTATAACCTATTCATTTAGAAACAATCCACATGTGCTTTAACTCATGAGTGTAAATACAAGTGATGGTTTATCTATGCAGCGAAAGACTACTCAGCAGTGAAAAAGAAAGGAACTCCCACTACAATCAACAACATAGATGAATCTCAAATCCATTATGCTTGGATTGAAAGAAGTTCGACTCAAAAAGCTACACACTGTGTGATTTCACTTACATTCTGATGAAGGCAAAATTATAGGCTCAGAAAATCACCTCAGCAGATGCCAGTGGCAGGAGGTGAGTGAGGCATTGACTACGAAATAGTGTAGCCGATTTTGGAGGGGCTAATGGAACTGTTTTATATCTTCAGATGGTTATACAATTGTCTATGTTTATTCAGAATCAGTGAACTGTACACCAAAGGTTGACTTTTATTGCATTTAAATTACACTTGAACATGAAGTGATGACTTGGCGGAATGGCTGTGAGCTGTCTTTAGTGAAGAAAAGGAGATAAGGACAATAGTTACAATATGATCTCCTTTTCGGTTCATAAACAATCACAAAAATACTTACACATATCTACTATGCATACAGACTGCTTAGATGTTTAACAGAGTAGCTAGGAAGGAGAAAGTAGAAGTCAACCAAAAATGGAGGGTAAGGAAATCAAGGCTTTATTCAAAAAAGATATGCTACATAATGTCAATTGATTCATCTTTTATGTAAAATGACACATGGAGGTGTTCAAACATGAGGAAAATACTGGAGAGTGAACAGTTTTTTTAAAAGCTGTAATCCATAAACACAAAGCTCTAAGAACAAAATGAACTGGAACTCTGGTGTCTTAGAGATGGAGGTCGTCAAACTGACTGCTGAATTTCCCCGGACACTTCCATCTCACACTCCCCGCTCCTCCCAGCCTGGTTCCTGCTCCTCCTCATGTGATCTAAGACTAGTGGTTGGCTTAAGGTGGATGATTGCAGTCATAGGTGGAGAAGTGTTGACTCAATGCCTGAGATGTTTCTTTGATTTGTCCTTTCTAAAAGGAGAAAGATGACAATTTCTTTGTCCCTCACACTTCGAATTATAACAGTTGCTCCCAGTCTTCTCAGTTTATTGTCCTTTCAACATTGTTTATATCACAGGAAAACAAAACTGGGTTTTTCAATATTTAACAAAGGAGCCCTTTTATAATCTTTCTTAGCAAAAATCATAATTAAGAGGTAATTATAACATGGCAAGAGCCGGAAGGTGACTTAGAAATGTGTTTCCTAATGGTCATAACCCTGGTGGTATTCCCAGTATTTCTGTTAGAATGAATAACAAATAACTACTGATGTTTATCCAGCTCTTACTATATGAATAACTTCACAGGTATTATTTTATTTAATTCCCATATAATTTTACATGGAAGTTACTTTTATTTTCCCTATTTTTGAGCTAAAAATCGAGCCCAGAGATATTAGCAAAGTGTGCACATCGACCCTCTGACTTAACCCCAGGCAGGTAGTGTGGGTACTAACCACCCTGCTGTGGGACATGTCACATAGGCCACCACACACCACACGCTTTGTGAGACGCTTCCTTTTATGAATCACTCCTGCACTTAGGCCTACATCATCTCTCATTGAGATTACTTCAATCCATTTTTTTTACCCTAGTCTTCCACACTCCATATCCTTATCTCAGCAAGATAGACTTAGAACAAATTTGATTGGTCGAAGGCTCAAATATGACTACTTGAGTCACCATTATCCTCCAGATAAATTTTTAATTTATAGGTACTCTCTGTAGTCCACTTATTTCCCCTCCCATTTTATCTTTTCTATGCTCCCTCTCAACCAAAATCACTTGCCTGTCTCCCATCCTCTTTCAGGACATTTCCTCTAATTAAAATACATTCCCTGCCATCTCTCATTGGTTCTCTCCTTGCTTCCTTACTTCTGCCTTCCTGGATACTTTTCATTTGTCTTCCGTGCTCACTTCAGGAGTCGACTCCTTCAGTAGGGCATCTCAAATCCACTTCAGTCACCATCTATCCCCTATAAAACATTATCATATCTTGTTGTACATCCTTATTTATCCCCTTCAGTTACTAGGGTCTGACCCACTCAAGGCAGGGACCATGGCTTCCATCTCTGCAACCCTAAGTTTAGTATGTGGTATGTACTCAATCATTGGTTTGAGAGAAAAAAAAGAAACAAAACATTCCATGAGCTTGGATAAAATGTACTATGATATATAGTTCCAATAATTAAGTCCCATTTCTATTTTAAACTTTAAGTTTAATCCACTCTGCCAAAAAATCTTTAAGAAAAAATAAAACTCATTGGCACAAAAGTAAAATTTAAGACCTTACTCCACTGTCAAATAATGAACTGGTTTCAGTTTTGGACAACAGATGTATGGCCAAAGTCTCCCTCCCAAATCCTAATATCCTCCCCCACCAACCCCAATTTCCAATGGCTGTAATTAGAAATATAGTCAACACTGTTAGTTTTGGCATACTTCTCTGGAAATGTCAAAAGAGAAACATTAAAAGAATGTCCAATGGGGTTATATTAGCTTAAAGAGGATCTACAGTTCATTTGTACTGTTTTAAAGTGAACATGATACTAATGTATCTGGGCAAAGGCATCTAAACAAAACAAAACATAGAACAAACCCCTTCTGTTTTCGTAGGAGTTTCACACATTTTTTTTTATCTTTATTGATTTTAGAAAGAGAGGGAGAGGGTGAGATAGAAACATCAATGAGAGAGAACATCGACTGGCTGCCTCCTACATGCCCCTCCCTGGGAATTTGGCCCACAGCCTGGGCATGTGTCCTGACCAGGAATCGAACTGGCGATCTCTTGGTGCATGGGTCGATGCTCAATCATTGAGCCACATATCGGAATGCTATGTGCGCTTATGGTTGCTTTATTTTAAGAGGATATGTAAAGATTTTAATGGTGGTTAAAAATATATCTGGGGAAGAAGTAAGATTGCTCCTTACAAAGAAGACCTAAGTGATTAAATTGCATTCAAGTATTTGTAGTTATTTTATAGATAGTGCTAAATCTCTTTTCTCAGCTCCCAGAAGGTAGGTTAAGCTATTTTTCTTTCTGTTTTGCAAAAATTGGATTGCTCTAAAAGAAAGACAAGACTACTGTACATAATTTCTGGCAAGTAGAGAAAATTATCAGAAGACTCATCCCCCCTCTTTATATCTGCAATCCAACCTTTAAAAAAATGCAATGACAAAAATATTGATTATTAAAATAATGCTTCTTCCAAGAAACTCAATTAACTGCAAACTATTAAGTTGATCAGGAGAGTTCAAAGCAACATAAACAAAAGTTCCATGTACATAATCTATACATAGAAATGAAAATATAGAATATCATCATTCCACAACATGAAAGAAAATTAACTTTTTAAAAATGTCCTACCATGATTTGTGTTTGCTGGATGACCAGTCTCAGGAAGATGGTTCTCTCCACTGGTGGATCCTTTCACAAATTCCCAGTGTGAATATTCTGTGAGGAATGGCTCCCAGTCACAGAAACCAGACTCAAAGTCACACATGAGATGATTAGCTGTTATGCATGGAAAAAAAATGAGGTGAGAAGAAATGAACTTGGAGCATGCAGCGAAACATTGACTTATACTCCAGCCAATCCACTTAGGAGGTCAGACTAATCATTCTACTTTGCAATTAATGTTTTCTGATTATCAGGATAGTTTTACTTTTCCAATTTCATAAAATTTTCCATTTGCTCTGTGAAGCATCACCCTTCTATATTCTTCTCTCTGCAAGTCTGGCACATTTCATCCTGGTTGGCCACCTCCATTGTATTTAATGATGCAAGGTGAACCTCTACAATTTTTCAGGAAGTAACTAATTTACCTGCCAAGATGAACAAGATTTACCTGGTGAGATAGTAGTAAAAAACAAAACAAAACAAAACAAAAATCTTTTGAAAAGGAGGAAATTTGAATTAATTCTGGACACCTAAAGAGGTTGAGTTTAGCACCTTGGTGTTCCTTATATATGCTATTTTTACAGTTTCTAAAAAAAAGAAAGCTAACCATTTTGGAGTTGCAGGTAAATTAGATATCCCAAACTCTGCTGTTTTTCCCTCTTAATACACAACTAAAAATTTTGAAAATACTTCAAGTTCCTACATTTATCACAAAAGAACTAGTGCTAGAGAAAGTCAGGATTTGGGATAAGCTTTATAAGTATTTTTCCCAGTTTTGTCAGCAAATTAGTGAGGGAAAAAAATACATTTCAGAGGGATGAGCAGTTAAACTAGAAATTCTAACATGTTGATTTGTGCTTTTGAGAAATTAGTTTTTATGTGCTTATTTTCTAAAATAAGAATCATAGTAGAGTGGGGAATAAATTAATGCAATTAATTTAAAAATATTTCCACATATTTCTCTTTATGCAGATGCATTATTTTATAATAGTGAAAAGGAGAACAAAATTAATCTGAGTCAGAAAACACCTAGTTTCCACAAGCTCCCTAAGATCATAATGTTATTATTTTAATAACAGTAACAAGAGACATGTTACCACTGAGCTCCAAGTATGCGCCAGGTATTTTGCATATATTATTAGTCTTCATACATACCCAACATAGTAATTGTAATTATTCCCAGAAACGAAAAATGGAACTTTAGCAGTAAGCAACTTGCCTATGCTAAGTTCTAGTAAATGGCACATTCAGGCTTTGACGTCCAAGCTTATACTTTGAAACCTCTCTAAACCAGGCACTCTGTCTCTTAATTAAAAAGAGTATTACCATATGCTTGCTCCTAGCCATTATTTTCAATTTTAAATAATATGACCATTTGACCAGATATTGAATAAGCTCACTATATGTTAATCAAAGGATTTTCAAAATTCTATAAACAGGAATGCCTTGTTTCATGACCAGATATTTCATCACTAACATGTCAACTCTAAAACACTAAAGTGCGCTATGCAAATAACAATGCCACTGAATTTTCTCTACAGGTAAATCAAATGTTTAGATCTCAGAGTTATGCTTGTTTAAATATTCATATAATGGATATATAATGTAAGATGCTTTTTCTTTACAAGCAAATATTTTCTCTCGCAAATGGATTTCACAAAAATAAAAACAAATAAATTAACTATAGTATAATAATGAAAAATGGTGCATATTACTTAGTGGTGAATCAATATGACAAGGAAATGCCATTTACCCATATATATAAGTGGAAATCGATTGCTTCTTGGTATGTTTTTCTTTTCTCAACTCAAGAGTTTAGAGGATCTGCTATTGATAAAAACTTACTCCTCAAAGGAGAATCTCTTCTGTTTTTTTTTACATAATCTTAAACACCTATGACCTAGATGTTGCTGTCAGCCTGGACATCTGGAAAATCCTCTGGTCTACTTCCTTGGTTCTCTGTGAACTTTGCCACCTACCTGGCCACCTCCCAGCTCTTCTATGTCAGTTGGCAGGGTGCAGAAATATACAAAATTCAAAACATATATTTGACCTCTTAAATGTGCTTAAAGTTTCAAATTATTGGTTATAAACTTGGACAAGGAATCTTTCCATCTGTCCCCAAGGATACCCACAATTCCTAAGAGACCCATTTTCCTGGCATAGGAAATCTTCATGGGTAGGGTGACCACACATCTGTGTTGGCCCACGATTGCCCTAGTTTATGCATGTTGTCTGTTGTCCTAGCATAATAATGAACACCTCTCCTTTTTCCACTCAAGTTTTCCTGTCTGAGCAATACATTCAATATTGCTCTGGGAAGATGAATTATATATTAATACACAAAAGCAGCACGTCCATGCAAATAGCAATCTTATTCACTCCAGGTAGCCACTATAGTAACTTATTATGCTCGAAACCATTTTATTCCCCCACTAGACAAGGCTGAGCATAGCTATAAGGTCAACGAATACAGAAATGGAAAGTACAAACCAAGCATCACCAAACCCTTCGACAGGCTCTTCTGAACTGTGCCTGTGTCATTCAAATGCAAAGATGTAAAGATTTCAAGGCACAATAACTTTGGGTTATATAAATATTGAAATTTGGCTTTAGGAGAAAAAGTTCAAACCATTTATTTCATTACTTGGATGTTTTATCAGTTAAAATGCCAATTATTGCACTTTCTATGGAACACTAAACACCACTGACTTTTGAAAAATGAAAATTAATTTTTAAAATCTATCACCATAAATACATATAAAAGTAAAATAGTACAATCGCCTCTGTAAAAATCATGGTGAATTGCTCAGTTGTTTTCACCACTTGCATTTTTTCAGTACACGTCAAAGGATTTTTTAAAGCTAACATTCTAGAATAACTACACTATAAAATATAAGTCAAATTCCAGTCACCAAAGTTGAAGGTATTCCATTAATATTTCCTATATAATTCAAAAAGTTTATTATAAAGTTATAAATAGCTGAAGAAAACCAAGAGGGCCAAACATTCTGGAAATGAATAAATGCCTTATGATACCTTATATTTCCAATCTTAAATATTTATAAAACCTCAAAGATAATCAATTCATTAATGTATTCATTATAAGCAGTAATTTTTATTATTTGGTGGCTTTTATTTAAATTTCTGTGATTATAAAAGACATCTAACCATCTCTGATCAGAGCATGAGATATGCTACTGTTCATAATTTCAGTAAAATTTCACTGAGTTCATCACTTACAGTAATATTTTTAATTTATGACAAAGCTTTCTCTTGCATATTTAACCACTGCAGCATATTGGCAAAGAAAAGAATTTCATTGTGGCAGCTGGGCAAAGTTCTTCTGGATCATAAAAATTAATATATTTATGAATTCACCAGTTCAGAAGTAAACCAGTTTTCTATCACATAAGAAAAAAAAAAAAAAAAACTATGTATGGGAAATGTTCCATTCAATAAGCAGATATTAGATTTTGTATGATTATATTATACAAACATTTTGTTAATATTTATTAAGAAACCACAAGAATCTTTTATCCATTAAACATACATATATTTCCCTTGGCCCTCAGGAAGTATTTTAGTATTCAACATATTTTAAAAATATATATAAAAGTTATCCAGAGACAGTATCAAAATAAAAATTAAATACATTGCATTGCATTCTTGGTTTAAGCTTCTTTCACTTGAGCACTGTACCAACTTTCCCTTTAAAGTATCAAAACTTATATTAGCATTTTAAATGCTATAACAAGTTCTACAAGTAAAAAAAAAATTTTCACACATTATTTTCCACTGTTTTGATTGCAACACAGATCTATGTATCCTTCCAATCTTTCTATTTTTATTTTTATTTTTGTTACAGATGTTTCTCCTTTTTCCCCCCATTGACACACTCCTCCCCATCCCCCCACCCCATCCCCGGCTTTGTTGTCCATGTCCATTGGTTATGCGTACATGCATATAAGGTCTGTGGTTTATCTCTTTCCTCCCCCCCACAACTCCCTCTTCTGAGGGTTGTCAGTCTGTACCCTACTTCCGTGTTTCTGGGTCTACCCTATTCCTCAGTCTGTTATGTTCATTATTTTCCACAAATAAGTGAGATCATGTGGTATTTGTCTTTTTCTGCTTGGCTTGTTTTGCTTAGGATAATACTTTCCAGGCCTCTCCATGTCGTCTCAAAGGATAAGAGATCTTTCTCACAGCTGCATAGTACTCCATTGTGTATATGTACCACAGCTCTTTTATCCATTCATCTACTGATGGACATTTGGGCTGTTTCCAGATCTTAGCTATTGTAAATATTTCTGCTATGAACATGGGGGTACATACATTCTTTCTGATTGGTGTCTCAGGCTTCTTAGGGTGTATTCCTAGAAGTGGGATCACTGGGTCAAATGGAAGTTCAATTTTTAATTTTTTGAGGTAACACCGTATTGTTTTCCATAGTGGCTGCACCAGTCTGCATTCCCACCAGCAGTGTACTAGAGTCTCCTTTTCTCCACACCCTCGCCAACACTTGTTGTTTGATGATTTGTTGATGGCGGCCATTCTGACAGGTGTGAGGTGATACCTCATTGTTGTTTTAATTTGCATCTCTCTGATGATTAGTGATGTTGAACATTTCTTCAAATGTCTCTTGGGCATTTGTAAGTCCTGTTTGGAGAGGTGTCTATTCAGCTCCTCTGTTCATTTTTCAATTGGGTTCTTTGTCTTCCTTTTGTTGAGTTGTATGAGTACTCTATATATTTTGGAAATTAACCCCTTATCTGATGTATCATTGGCAATGATGTTCTCCCATACAGTGGGTTGCCTTTCCATTTTGATGGTTGTTTCTTTTGCTGTGCAGAAGCTTTTTAGTTTGATGTAGGCCCATGTGTTCATTTTTTCCTTTGTTTCTGTTGCCTTAGGTGATGTATCAGTGAAAATTCTGCTGCGTATCATGTCCAAAATTTTGTTGCCTACATTTTCTTCTAGAATTTTTATGGATTCACAGGTCACATTTAAGTCTTTTATTTATTTTGAGTTTACTTTTGTGTATGGTATAAGTTGGTGGTCTAGTTTCATTTTTTTTTCATGCCCAATTTTCCCAACACCATTTATTAAAGAGG